CGGGGCCTCCTTCCCGATCCGCCTTGTAGGGTCTACCCGCCCGATCTGCCCGTCTGGGTCTGCCACGTGCTTTCTGCTCCCAGCCCGTGCTCCATCCTCCTCCCTCCCCCTTGTCTTTCCTTCCATCCGTCCTCTCTTCCTTTGTCTCAGGGGCTGTGCGAAATATACGTTGCAGGTAAGAAAGATATACTCCCAATATGGGTAAGGTCGAGGACGAAGAGGGCGGATATCGAAGGTTCGGGATATACGTGTTGAATGGCATGCGAGCACATAAGAGCGAACAGTCTTAAAATGATTGTTGTTGTTGTTGCTGCTGTTGCTGCTGTTGTTGAAGATGTTGAAGATGGTGGTGGTGGTGATTGTGGCGGTGATGATACAGAGGACGAGGAGACACGTGGAAAGGGGAGGACGGACTGGGCACGACGAGCACTGGGGAATGTTTTCGAACCGCAAGGATTTAAATTCGGATCGCAGCGAGTTCCCAGACAAGCCTCTCCCTGTCGCACATGGCCTCCAGTTCCTGGACAACCACGACCAGCAGCGCGAGAGATGGAAGGCCGGTTCGGGACTGGACGGGCCTGGTTGTTTGAGGGAATTGATCAAATCAGCCAGATAGGCAGGTCCTTCTTGTCCCCAAATATTTTGAGATCATCTTGCCTCGATGCAGGTAATCAAGTTTCGTGAATCTGTGCTTGCGAGTAGGTCTTGGACTTGCGCTCTTCAGAGAGCCAAGCGTCCCCAGAGAGCTACATTACCTCGACGATGGCTGCACTGAGGCGGACATCGCGAGGTCTGGTTCTCATAGCTCCTACGACTCGTTTTTTTCCCACTCGCCGGCCCCTGGAGCTCTCGCCCCATTCCTAGGCACCGCTGGTTCATCCCAGCAAATCTCCCCCAGACGCCCAACCTCGCGGAACAGATCGGGCGCAATCTTCTTCGAGACGCAGGAGGCCTGGCAGGTACGCGCCGCGTCGACGCGGCGGCGAACCCAGCACCGGCGTTCTGGGTGGAACGCCGCCAGTGGCCCAGAACGGGTAGGTGTCGAGCGATCTGCGCTATCGGAGAGCCGCAGCCGCTCAAGGTTTGAACGATCCGCGCGGGGGCAGAAACCAACGCGCAAGTCGTCACGGCCGTGCTCAGGTCTGAGGGCCGAATGATGCACAGATTGGGGGTTGTTGGTTCACGAGGCGCCAGGTTCATCCAGTCTTGCGCCCGAAGGCCTGTCAAAATCTCGGCGACACGGGGTGCAGGAGCCTTTCTCTTTTTGTCGCCCCTCCTCCTCCTCCTCCTTCTTACTGCGTATCCATCTCCATCTCCGCCTCCTCCTCTTTCTCTCGCTCGCCGCCTCTCCATCCTCCTGTCCCTCCTCCGCGTCGCCGTCCACCTCCAGGAGCCTGCACGTGAACGGGAGCGTGTGTGAGGATCCAGAAGACGGGAAGTGCCGCCCGATCTACAAGAACGGGGCGATATACCACATGGCCATGGTGTTCTCCTTGGCGTGGCCCTTTGGCGACTCCTTCCGGATCATGTCTTCCTTCGCGTGGACGTTCTTCAGGGAGGGCCCACCCGGCACACGCAGAAACGCTTCGAAGGACATGGCTGACTCTGTGTGGGTCACGGGCGACGTCTCTTCGCCCTCGCGCTGCCGGGCAAGGCCAGAGACGACACCTGCGAGCCTCACTTACGATCTCAACACAGACCGCCCGTGGGTCTGCGAGCATCGCTGGGAGGGCGTGCCAGGCTTGGTGCGCGTGAGGAAGCAGCTGGGCTCCGTGTGCGGCGGGGACTGGCGGGGCTGCCACGTGCGCAGCCGCGACAGCTGGGACGACTTCGCGTCCTTCGTGGTCGCCGAGAGAAGTGGCGACAGCGCGCTCGCCTTTGTGGCCCTGAGCCGTGGGTTCAACCACGTTACGCAGCTGGGCTCGAACCAAAGCTGGATCCTGGCGGAGTGGCGGACGAACGCCACACTGCCACCGGGCGAGTATTGCAACCTAGCCTCCGTGCGTGGCCCTGTGGCGCAGGCGCTCGAGCCTCGGTGGCCCGCCAACTGCAAGGAGTCCGTCCGCGTGGGCCCAGAAGGCCTCTTCACCCAAGGTGTGGTCAGGAGCGGTTCCTCGGTAGTCATCCACAAGCTGTACAGGCGGGACCTTGCCCTCTCTCCAGAGCGCAAGCGCGACGGAAATGAGGAGGTGCTGATCACCTGACAGTGGTTTGTGCCGTAGTGTTGGAGGGTCCGCTTGGCCCTTCTCCTCTTCTTTGCCGCCCTTCAGACGCCTAAGCCAAAGCCGAGGGGCTTGGGCTTTAGCCATAGGTATGCCGCCGCTGCTGGCTGCAAGCGTAGGTCTGCGAGGCTTCAGCCACAGTCAGGGCAGAGGCGGCACCGCTCAGAGCGATAGGAAAGCACAGCAACCGCACAGGACCAGAAGTTGCAAGAAAAGCTGGGTGTGCATATGAGCGGTAAATTTCGGAAATCCGCCTTCGGCTCCCTTTATAATGTCTGTCCTTTCTTCGGTGAGCGTGCTCTTCATAAGTAAAGTTCCTTGCGGGCTCACAAAACCAAGTCTGAATGCAACGTGAACAACACGGTAATCAATGTGGGCAGTGCAATATCGCTTCTGGAGTTGCATGTAGTATGCCGTTGGTATTAGAGGCGCCATGCCAACACATTAACCCTTGCAGTCATCATATGTTCCTCGTTAAACGCCCGATTTAGAGATGCAAGCCTCAACTCTGAGCTGTGTTTATTTGACATGCGCTTGCTATTTGCAGTGTGCGTGTTGTATATGCTTATTCCAAAGGCTTACTCGAATCCACCCACCCAGAAGAGGACATGTGCGGCTTCCAATTTCGTGTGTGTTATTTGCCACTTCCTGTTTTGCTACCTGCGTGTAGTTGTTGCTGATTGGTCGTCCTCTCGCTCCGCCTGTGTTGCGGGACTTCATGGGGACCCCTTGGAGCTTTTTCAGGGCTTTTTCAGGGCTCCCGGGGTCTTTTAGGGCCCCCTGCGGTCTTCCTGGGGGCCTCTTGGGGTCATGTTGGGCGTCTTGGGAGCCGTCTTGTGGGGGAGGGCTTCTGGGGTCCCCACGGGTTCCCCCTCTTGGCCAATCTTTGGCCGCTCTTGGGGTCTCTCGAGGGTTTTTGTTGCCGTCTTGGGGGCCTCTAAGGCCGTCTTGGGGCCCTCTTGGGGTGTCTCTTGGCCTTACTTGGGACCCCTTCTGGAGCCATCTTGGAAAGCCTCTTCGGCATTTTTGAGGCCACGGAGTGTAGATTTGGAGGCTCCTGAGGCCCCGCGGGTGCGCCGGAGAGCCCGGCTCCCCACTCCCCCCCCGCGCTCACTCACCCCTCTCCCTTCTAAGGGGATTTGGACCCCGTAGGAGGGGGAAGGGGGACAGCCAAATATGTCACACACGCCTTTCACCCCGGGCACGCGGGGGTCGGCGGATCGAAGGGCGGCCGCTGATCCCAGAAATGGCTCCTGGTCCCCGTTGGTGCAGCAGGTGCCGTCAGCAGGCTCAGCGTTCTTACAGGAGGTCTGGGAGGTGCTCGTTGAGGTGTCCCGGAGGTTGCGTCGGGATCTCTGGCGGTCGATGGGGATCGCCGGCCCCTTGAGTTCTACGATGCGTGCGTTGGGCGTTCGCAAGCTGGTTGTATTAGCGTTATCCGATGCGACTCGGGCGCGTCTCGGAGTCTTTCGTGGCAGTCTAGTTGGGGGCTTCGCTTCTCTAGGGGGAGCAGGCGCTGGCGCTTGGAGGCTGCAGGGAGCTTCCAGGAGGCTTCGGAGTAGGATGTGGTGTGGGTGGTAGATGGGTGACGGACGAGGGGGGGAGGAAGGCGACACGGAAGAGGAGGAAGAGGAGGACAAGGATACGTTTACGGATGAGTATGACGATGATGATGTTGTTCATGATCATGGTTATAATGTTGCTGCTGATTATGCAGATGATGATGACGATCATGTTGCTGCTGCTGACTATGATGACGACGACGGTGGTGCCAATCATGATGATGCTGATGCTGCTGATGATGCTGGTGATGATGATTCTGATGATGGTGGTGGTAGCGGTGACTATAGTGATAGTATTGATTATGTATTCGATTCTGCAGATGATACTATACGGTAGATGATGATGAGGATGATGATGATGCTGATGATGGTGATGGAGATGATGAGGATGAGGATGAGCATAATGATGCTGATGATGATGACGATGGAGATGATGCTGAGCATGATGATGATTATGATGATGCTGCTGCTGATTATGATGATGATGATGATGATGATGATGATGATGATGATGATGATGGTGATGATGATGATTAGGATGGCGTTGATGGTGATGCTGATGATGCTGATGCTGCTTGTGATGCTGATGATGGCGATGAGTAGCAGCACAAGGGGGATGAGGAAACTGATCATTCATTAACACATTTGTGCATATATATATATATATATGTATATCACGACTACTACTACTACACATGTCGATGCTGCTGCTGCCGATGAGAGGATGATGATGAGGATGGGGAGGGGAAAACGGAAGTGAATAATAAGGTGACGGAAGGAAAGGGTTAATTTTGGACGACCAGGGGTGGAGATGGTGATGATGGTAGTGATGATGCTGCTGCTGCTGATGATGATGAAGATGATACTGATGATCAGGTTGATGCTGCTGCTGATGATGATGATGATGATGATGATGATGATGATGATGATGATGATGATGAGGAAGAGAAGAAGGAGGAGGACGAGGACGAGGAGGAGGAGGAGGAGGAGGTGGAGGAGGAGGAGGAGGAGGAGGAGGAGGGGCAGGAGGAGCAGGAGAAGCAGGATGAGGAGGAGGTCCATGACGCGGCTTCGGATCAGCTTCGACTTCCTGCAGCTACTCTAACACAGCGCCGCGTCCAGGCACCACGCCCAGCCCGACTACCACGCTCTCGCGGCCGATGAAACGGACGTCCTGGATCACGGGCCTGACGGTGCCGACGTTGTTATTGGCATCCGCGTCCGTGGTGACGGTCTGGCATGCCAGTGTCTCCACGAGCTTCCGACGGCTGATCACCCTGCCCCTTTTGCCCCCCCCCTCCGTCCGCCTATCGGCCCGAGCTCAGGGACCCTGGGATGACCCACGGCCCCGCCTCCAAGAGCTGTGGCCATGCTTGCCCACATCTTGGGCGTGGCAGCGGCAGACCGCGTGCCGGGGGCCCCGGATGACCCCCACCCGGTCGTCCCCGCACCGGACTCGAACGGCCTGCTCTCGGGGCCCCCGCTGCCGAGGTCCACGCTCTGGTTCTGCCTGTTCTGGCTCCTCCCCGTTGTCGTCTACTTCCTGCTGGACTGGCTGACGCAGCAGCGCCGCCGCACCTTCCGGGGCGCACCTGCGCCGCAGGCGGGCCCAGAGCGGGGCGCGGCCGACGGGTTGGCTGCCCCGGCAGAGGGGCCCTCTGTGCTGGCTGCCTCGATCGAGCACAGCCTGCCGCACCGCAATGTCAAGGTGATCGCGGGCGGGCTCGGCAAGGTCATGGACCTGGTGGCCCGACACCACCCCTCCGAGATCACGATGGTGCACCCCGCGGTGGGCGGAGACGACGGTGGCCTCGTCTCGATTTACGGCGAGCCCGATGGCGCCGAGCCGCCGCTGCACGTCGTCGTCGACGGGCGCGAGGAGGAGGTGGTCGTCAGGCGGTTCTGCGGCCCCCCGCCGGGCCCGGGGCTGCCGGAGGTCCAGTTCCTCCTGCTGCTGCACCCGTTGTTCCTGAAGCGATCCAGGAGGCCCAGAACGGAGGGCGGGGGGGGGGCAGCAGAAGGCGAGAGACCACGAACGGCTCTTGGCCTCTGGAGGCTCCTCTGGGGCCCTCCTCCTCTTCCCATATGTCCCAGGCGTGACGCCGCCTGCTTCTGGGAGCGGCGTTCGAAGGTTCAGAGAAGCCGTCCACCGTCTTGCTGCCCAGACGCTGAAATGCAAGGAACAGCGTGGCTTCGGAATGGGGCCCGATGCTCCTCAGGTTCCCCTCCGTTGCTGTTCCTCTCGCCCTCCTCGGGCTCGGAGGCGCTTCGAGGGCCCAAGGAGGGGCTTCGCTCCCGATCCCGCGTTCCCTCTCTCTAGGCGGCACCACCGCGTGGCCACCCACCAGAGACCCGGACGGCACGCCCACGCCGATCCTTCCCCGTCGTGCCTCCTGGTTCGGAGGCTGCCAGGGGGGTTCGTTGGGCAGGGCTGGTTTCGCTGGACGTGAGGCCCCCCCCCCCGCAGCCCGACCTGAGGCGCTCCAGCACGACCCGAGGCGCCCCAGCAGCCGTCGAGAGCACCCCTCTTGAACCAGACCCCCGTCGTGCCTCCTGGTGGGTGGGCGGGGGGGGGGGCCGGGCGGAGGGGCGGAGGGGCCCGAGGGCTCGGCGCTGGGCTGGCGGGTGTCGAGCCTTTACGTCTGCCTGCCTGCTCCCTGCCCCCCACGAGAGGTGCCTCTACCCCAACCCGATGACGCGGACCGAGGCTCTCAAGAAGGGGAAAAATCGCACAGACACAAGTGATCGTCGACTCCCAGGAAAGGATGGGAACATGTGGGAAGTGTGTGTGTATGTGTGTGTGTGTGTGTGTGTGTGTGTGTGTGTGTGTCTGTGGGGGTTGGGGGGGGAAGACGGAAATCCATAACATAGGGGAATTATCCCAGTGCGACCCCTACCTAGGAGTTGAAGCCTCTAGGAAAGCAACATTAGTAGGAGCGGTAAACGCCGTCCTCCTCCTTCTTATCATCGGATGCTGTGCTGCGCTATGCTATGCTAATGCTATGCTTTGCTATGCTTTGCTGTACTGCGCTATGCTGCGCTATGCTGCGCAATGCTGCGCTATGCTATGCTATGCTATGCTAGGGTACGATCGACTGCGCTGTGTTATGCTAGGCTATGCTATGCTATGCTATGCTGCGCTATGCTATGCTATGCTATGATATACTATGACATGTTATGCTATGCCGCACTATACTATGCTATGCTATATGTTTTGCTATGCTATACTGCGCTATGCTATGATATGCTAGACTATGCTATGCTATGCTATGCTGCGCTATGCTATGCTATGCTATGCTGCGATATGCTATATTATACTATGATATGACATGGTATGCTGTGCTATGCAATGTTAGGCTGCGCTGTGCAATGCTAAACAACGCTGTGCTATGCTATGCTATGCTATACTGTGATTTGATATGCTATGTTATGATATGCTGAACTAAGCTATGGTATGCTATGCTATGCTATGCCATGCTATGCTTGGTTATACTATGATATGCCATGCTGTGCTAATGCTGCGCTGCACCATGCTGCGCTACGCTAAGCTAAGCTGTGCTAAGCTGAGATAAGCTAAGCAAAGCTAAGCTAAGCTAGGCTAGGCTAGGCAAAGCTAAGCTAAGCTAAGCTAAGCTAAGCTAAGCTAAGCTAAGCTAATATGATATAAGCTAGGCTAAGCTAAGCTAAGCTTAGCTTAGCTAAGCTAAGCTGGATGA